CCCAGCTAATGCTCTGCGATATAGCGGCTAAGGGTCAAAAAGCAGTCGTGGCTCTTGGGGCCCTGTTCCGAGGTTATCCGAATACTTGGATGAGTATCGCTGCGGAACTGAGTGAGTAGTGACGCTATATCGAGTCTAGATTGCGTCTTCTCCGTCACCGGGACCCGTGGTACAGTTGGTCTGGTGTTCTGCTATGTATTTAAGAGAGTGTTGATAAAAATGATAAGAAGAATCTGCCATGTTATTAGTCCTAACCTGGCATCTCGGCTTTCGTCACTTAAACCACTGCCGTAAAGTAGTTACCTTTTTCTATAAATAATCCCATAGTAATTTTTCTGATGAGCTTTATTCTTTTGGTACCCCGACTTCCTGAATTTAAGCGCAATATTGGTGACAAGTTATTATCATTTTACTGTTGAAATGACTAGATGTAGCCGCAAGTTCTATGCTAACAGTCTCTTCACTGGCATTTCTTTCTTCCGGCTTCTTATATCCCAGTTAACTTTGAGATTAAAAAAATTAATTACCATCCTTCTCTATGTGTCATTTTTTCTTAGGACTTAGTCGATCATGGCTCTCTGCAACTTCCTGTCATTTGTAATTTTAAATAAATATTGTCTTTTTATTATCTATCTATCTATCTATCTATCTATCTATCTATCTATGTAAAATGAGAACAAATAGAGTATAATTTCGCTGCATTTAATTTAAAAATACAGCGTGGAGATAAGTAATATTTTTAAAATCCTTAAACATCAAAAATGTGTCGTTTCGGTCAAACCACTGGCCAGTAAAAGATTAATTTCAAAAGCGGAAGAATTAAAAAATATATATATATGTGTGTTTGTGTGTTTGTGCGTGTGGATATATATATATATATATATATATATATATATATATATATATATATATATATATATTGTTTTTTTGTTATTTAGAGAGTGTTGATGAAAATGATAAGAAGAATCTGCTATATATATATATATGTATCAGTCTCTTCAATATCTATATATTTATCTCAGGTTCTCTATCTATCTATCTATCTATCTATAAATATATATATATATATATATATATATATATATATATATATATATATATATATATATATATCACAGACTGACAGATAAATATAAAATAGATTGATATATAGACAGACAGATAGATATGAATAAATAAAGTATATATATATATATATATATATATATATATATATATATATATATATATATATATATATATATATATATATATATAATAAATTATCAGAATATTCAATATCTATCCATCTAAATTATATAGCACCCAGGCTATATGATGATTTTTGTGTTACAGTTTCGTTTCCTGTTGGAAGACACATACTTTTTTAGGAAAATTTCTCGGATATTAAGGCTATTTTAAACAGAGCATTTACTTAAATTTTTGTATCTATAAAAATAATGTATAAGAAATAAATATATTTAAATATTATGTAAATTTAAATAGCACAACTCAAGAAACACACACAGTTAACACAAACACAAACACATGGACGTGCGGGTGAGTCTGTGTGCGTGGGTTCTTCTGTGTGTGCATGCTTGCGTATGTGCGTAAGAGACTTAGATAGATAGATAGATGTCACATAATCAAATAGAAACACATGCACAAACACAAACACACAATACCGTTAACACACATAAACACAAACATAGAGATAGGCGCACATATACGTACATACACGGACGTGTGTGTAATGTGTGTATACAATCACTATCTCATATAAACCAATTTTGTTTAATTCAACCGTTTAGATTGAATTAAAAAATGTATTTTTGCAGCTTTCGAATAATCTGTTCCATACCAGAATCAAAATTATGTATAAACTCATTATAAATTCATTTTTATTTTCAAAACAGACAATGGAAACGATAGATAGATAGATAGATAGATAGATAGATAGATAGATATGAAGTGACTTCGACAGATATGAAGAGATTGGGATAGATCGATCGATTGATAAATATGAACAAACTGTGATATATATATATATATATATATATATAGATAGATAGATAGATAGATAGATAGATAGACATGAAGAGAATGACACAGATATGAAGAGACAGATAGATAGATAGATAGACAGATAGATAGATAGATAGATAGAGAGAGAGAGAGAGAGAGAGAGAGAGAGAGAGAGAGAGAGAGAGAGAGAGTTAGCGCGGGGAGAGTAATTTGAAAAGTGAAGCAGCTAAAAAAAATACACGTAAACAATTGTTCGATTTTTTCTTCAACCTATTCCCCGAAAACCTTTTTCTCCTCTTAATAGGTAGCTATTTCCATTTTTGCAGTAATGAAAATATATTTTTTTTTAAATTCTCTCTCTTTCCCGTAAATTATTTTGATTTGTGTACATCTGTGTATAAAGAATGAGGTAGATTTTAATGACAAGAAAATTTAGAGAATGCTTTCTTTCCTATAATACAATGGCCGCCCGTATCGTCTGCATTCTTTGATTTTATTCATTAAATTATACGCTATATTTGATGACGAGCAGCACGAACCATTTTTTGCCTCATTCTTTTCAATATTTCTCATTAAGCATATTTTGTTTTATTATCGTCTTTCTTTTTTAAATGATGATTTTTTATTGTAAAAATAAAAATGAGAAAAAAGAAATATAGCTAAATCATGCTTACATATCGATCTCAGATTTTGTTTATAAATGGATGCATCCTTTATCTGTATAAATACGTATATACACTTCCTGACACTATATATATATATATATATATATATATATATATATATATATATATATATATATACGTGTGTGTGTGTGTATGTGCGTGCGTGCGTGTGTGCGAGCGCGTGTGTATCTCCATGTGTGCTTGTTTTGTAATCGCTATAATGGCGACGCTCACTAAAATAGTTTCAGCAGGAAATTCCCGAAAATGCTGTCCAAAATATTATCCTCATACCCCAACCTATGGTAAAATGCGTATATACGAGACAATTCTATCCCTAAATTTCATGGATTTTACACGTTATATATATATATATATATATATATGTGTGTGTGTGTGTGTGTGTGTGTGTGTGTGTGTGTGTTTAGATGAGAGAAAGAACAGATGGAGTAAAACTCCACTGTTCGTAGCATTTACTTAAAAAAACTGCTAAATACAAAGTACAATCTATTAATATTATTTTTATTATTAGTGACAATTTATTAGAAAAATCTTATAATAATAATAACAGTAACAATAATAATAATAATAATAATAATAATAATATATCTTGGTATACATAGCATAAATCTTGGTATATATAGCATAAATCTTGGTATATATAGCATAAATATTAGCATATATAGCATAAATATTAGCATATATAGCATAAATCTTGGTATATATAGCATAAATATTAGAATATATATCATAAATATTAGCATATATAGCATAAATCTTAGCATATATAGCATACATCTTGGTATATATAGCATAAATATTAGCATATATAGAATATCTTGGTATATATAGCATAAATATTAGGATATATATCATAAATATTAGCATATATAGCATAAATCTTGGCATATATAGCATAAATCTTGGTATATATACCATAAATATTAGCATATATAGCATAAATATTAGCATATATAGCATAAATATTAGCATATATAGCATAAACCTTGGTATATATAGCATAAATATTAGCATATATAGCATAAATATTAGCATATATAGCATAAATCTTGGCATATGTAGCATAAACCTTGGTATATATAGCATAAATATTAGCACATATAGCATAAATCTTTGCATATATAGCATAAATTTTGGTATATATAGCATAAATATTAGCATATATAGCATAAATATTAGCACATATAGCATAAATCTTTGCATATATAGCATAAATCTTGGTATATATAGCATAAATATTAGCATATATAGCATAAATCTTGGCATATATAGCATAAATCTTGGTATATATAGCATACATCTTGGCATATATATCATAAATCTTGGTATATATCGCATAAATCTTAGCATATATAGCATACATCTTGGCATATATAGCATAAACACCGAACCAAAAGTGGCAGCAGTATTCAGTACATGGATGAATGTTAGATTTATATAGCTAACATTGTGAAGAGAAAAATTGCCTAGCACGAAAGATTATAAGGAGTATAAGTACCATATTTTACTTATTTAAGATTATAAAAATAAAGGAGAAAGAAAATAAAACAAATTTAATTTTCTTAAGTTTAATATTCTTATTATTAAATTTTTGCAAATGTTTCTGTCCGATTTTCATTGTTAATGTCCTAAAGTTGATACTGTATTTTTTTTATTTATTCTAGTTTCAGGTGTGTTCAAATTAAAACCGGGCCTCGTTTTAATTCTGACGTTTTGTCCACAAATGGATAACAAAGATGGACGATGAAAATTTGAACTTCCGCCATATTATTATGCTCTATGAATTGCAGAAAGGAGTATGCGTCGGAAATGAGACAAAACAAAACAGAAGTACATATTCCATTCATACGAACCTATCCTAAAAATCTTGCCAGCATTAAATAACCCATTGAGGTTGATATGCCGCAAAACAAATTAAACTAAACCAAAGTGCATATATCAAAATCAAAACACCTTTAAATTGATTATACTTTGAAATCCTCCAAAGTTGATTTTGGAAATGACTCATTAATTCCCCATTATATCCGAAGTAGTAAAGACGCGGAGCTAGTATAGAATTTGTTTTGTTTTGTTTGTTTTTATAATTAAATAGCGTTCAATTGAAATTGAAAAGTTTTGTTTTTTTTAATTAAGAAACAAAAACTAGCAGACGACGCTAATGTGCCGAACACTGCTTCATCCCGTACATCAAGTGTCAATTTTTGGTGCCTTATAGATTGAAAGCATACATCGTTCGGTTACGAGTCAGATTTTGTTAAACGTTGACGTTTTGTCCACAAATGAATACCTTAATAATGGAGGATGAAAAGTTGCAATTTCGCCATATTATTTTGCTCTATGAATTATGGAAAGGAGTAAGCATCAGAAATGCGACTCCACCCCACCCCCTACCAAAAAAAAGAAAAAGAACATACAGAATGTTTATTTGGACTTTGTTCCACTGATGGTGATTTTAACCTAAACGATCAACCACGCTTCCGAAACCGATGAAGACGTTTTACCTGAGGATGAACCGAAGATTTTTACGGAGGAGATCTGTAATCTATTTCGGGTGTGTTCTACATTAAAACCTTTCAGCATTCAGTTGCGAGACAGACTTTGTTGAACGTTGACGGTTTGTCAACAAATGAATGTCTTATAGACGGAGGATGAAAACTTGCTCATCCGCCATATTATGCTCTATGAATTTTGAAAATGAATATGCGCCGGAACTGCGAAAAAACGCATTCAGAAAGTTGATTTACATCTTTTCCCAGCCCTTCGGAGAGTCAAATGGGATTAGGCACATTACGTCAGGCTGATTTTAACTTAAACGATCAAACACGCTTTGGGTGACATTACGATGTTGAACGAGACGATTTAAAAAATTTTTTTTTAATCATTACACACCAAGCAAGGCGGGAATGACACTATTACGAATGGTGTTACACAGAGGGAAACTGAATGAAAAGACTGGTTATAGGATTGAGGAAAGGATAAAATATGAACAAGATTCAAGAAGAGAGAAGATGGTGATTGACGTTGCATTTAAAATGTTAATGATTGTAATCGATATCTCAATTCCTTTGCGCTATTTGAAGGGACAAATATGAGTAGGAGGTGCTGAGTCTTCACTTTCTTGTCTTGGTAGAGTCCAAAAGACTCTCCGCTATCCTCTAAAGCTTACAATAGGCAGATCAGGCTGAAAATGGAATACAAAAAATATATAGGCAGGAGCGTCCCAATCCATTTATTCTCTAATCTCGATAGATATCAAAAGACTCTCCGCTATCCTCAATACATACAATAGGCAGATCAGGCTGAAAATGGAATACAGCTGCCATATATAGGCATCCGTCCCAATTTTTCCTCTAATCTCGATAGGTCCAAAATCCTCTCCGCTATCCTCATCCTCCTTTACAATATGCAGATCAGGCTGAAAATGGAATACTGCTGCCATATATTACAGGAGCGTCCCAATTTTACTCTCTAATCTCGATTGGAGCCCAAAAATATCTCCTTTATCCTCAGCCTTTATAATATTAATCAGGCTGAAAATGGAATACTGCTGCCATCTATCCGTCAAGGAGCGTCCCAATGTTTAATTCTCAATCTCGATAGAGTCCAAAGACTCTTCCATCTATCCTCAGCCTTTACAATGGGCAGATCATTAAACAAAAATAGAATACTGCTGCCATATATAAAGGCAGGAAGAAATAATTTTCTAATTACGTCTCAATCTCGATAATCTAAGATTTAATGTCCTCAGATTTTATTTATGGCAGATCAGGCTGAAAATGGAATACAGCTAAGCCATATAGAGGCAGGAGCGTTTGAGGCTTTACTTTTTCGATAGAGTCAAAAAATTCTCCGCTATCCTCAGCCTTTACAATGGGCAGATCATCCTGAAAATGGAATACTGCTGCCATATGTAATCAGGGCGTCCCAATGTTTACTCTAGGATCTTTCGATTGAGCCCAAAAGACTCTCAGCTATCCTCAGCCTTTACAATAGGCAGATCAGGCTGAAAATGGAATACTGCTGCCATATATAGGCAGGAGCGTCCCAATGTTTACTCTCTAATCTCGATAGAGTCCAAAAGACTCTCCACTATCCTCAGCCTTTACAATAGGCAGATCAGGCTGAAAATAGAATACTGCTGCCATATATAGGCAGGAGCGTCCCAATGTTTATTCTCTAATCTCGATAGAGTCCAAAAGACTCTCCGCTATCCTCAGCCTTTACAATAGGCAGATCAGGCTGAAAATGGAATACAGCTGCCATATAGAGGCAGGAGCGTCCCAATGTTTACTCTCTAATCTCGATAGAGTCCAAAAGACTCTCCGCTATCCTCAGCCTTTACAATAGGCAGATCAGGCTGAAAATGGAATACTGCTGCCATATATAGGCAGGAGCGTCCCAATGTTTACTCTCTCATCTCGATTGAGCCCAAAACTCTCAGCTATCCTCAGCCTTTACAATGAGGCAGATCAAAATTGAAAATGGAATACTGCTGCCATATATCAGAATTTTCCCAAAGTTTATTCTCTAATCTCGATAGGTC